ATATGTAACAAATTTTAAATTTTCACAATTCGATTTTTTAGTTGTGACAATTTAGTTTGCAAGGTTGGTAGTGGGTTCAACGACCCGTAGTTGTCAAAATTGACCTTGAATATCTACATCAATTTGAGACATACTTTAGATAGAAAGTGAAGATATTCAAAATATTAAATAAATTACTTTGCTCCAGACCGCAAGAGATTTATAAAATATGTAACAAATTTTAAATTTTCACAATTGGATTTTTTAGTTGTGACAATTTAGTTTGCAAGGTTGGTAGTGGGTTCAATGACCCGTAGTTGTCAAAATTACTTAATGTTTCTGAAACAAGATTTAAAAACTTTTATTTTAAGAGAGAAACAGTTCAGATTCAAGTTTTATAATATGTTTTATAAAGATATTATGCCAAACAATAAAAGATGTATTTATGACACGCCCCYACTTGGCTTTGATATTAAATTATGAAACAACAATAGCGTCGGATACAACATTCTTTCCCAAGTTTCATTCTTTTTTCCTTTGCTATGTGTATATATAATAAAGTCGCCAATGCTACGCCCCTATCTCGAGAATCTCCAAGTTTTCATGTATAAACTTCCAAAACCCTCCATCCTAATTAAATTTATTAACTCTAAACCCAGCACATTTTTTATATCCCTTTAATTAACTTAACGTCAAAAAAACTAATTCAATTTAATTTTTTTCTGAAAGAAAAATTCGTGTCGCACGTATTTCCCTGTTTATGTTATATTTGCTAAATTCGGCACGTCTCCAGCCTGCTTGAATTACAGCCGAATCTAATTTCTTTCCTCTCGCGACTGCATTATTTACATTTTTGCGGAAATTCGATTAAAATTCGACAAGAGGGCAATAAAGTAGTGTTTTCCCTACTAGTTTTAAAAAGTCGAGAGGTTGGAAAGTTGTTTTTCACTCCTTGTGGTCGATAATCATTTTCATTATTGACCAAGGGAGTGTATTAATATTACAACTATTATTATCATTGATCACAAGAACTAAGGAAAGTTTTTTTTAATGCAAAATCAAATAAAAAAACTTAAAACTTCTCATTAAAAAATATTAGGAATTTAATCGTAATTGTTTGGAGTTATTTCGAAGTTTTTGGAATTATTAAAATTATTTTTGGATTGTCTCGAATCACTATAATTATTGTTTCTCAGGTAATGGAATTTTTCTAGAATTACTGAATTTTTTCAGAATTATTGGAGCTAATTTTTTTTGAAAATATCGCAATTAATTTGAAATTACAGGAATTATTTTAGAATTACAAAAATTAAGTTGGAATTACAGAAATTAATTTTGAATTGTAGAAATTAATCTGAAAACAATGGATTAACAAAATTACTGAAATTGATTTTGGTGAAATTTTTCTGAAATTACTGGACACGAATAATTTAAAAACTACAATACAATACTACAAATTACAGGAGTTAATTTGGAATTAATAGAATTACTAGAATTGAATTACCGGAATTACTTGTAGATTATTACAAAATTACGTTAAATATTTTAGAAGTATCGTAATTAATTTAGAATTACAGAAACAATTTTTATATTACAAAAATTAAGTTGGAATTACGGCAATTATGTTGGAATTAAGTTGTAAAAATTACTAGAATTATAAGAATTAATCCCAAAAAATAGAATTACGATGGATTAATAGAATTAATGAAATTGAATTTTGGTGGATTTTTTTTTTAATTACTTATCGTAATTATTTGTAAAGTACAGAAAGTTTTTTGAAATAGTAATT